CAGAAGGTAACTTCACATAGTTCACAAGAGCACATACAGTAACTATGTAGACATACTGGTGTGAAATAATGTCCTGATTGCTGGCTGCAGCCAATAGGAAGAGGCCAGGCACCCTCACCTGGTGACCAGAGAAGCAGGCTCCTCTATCCCTACCCTTCTGGTGATTAGCAGGACAAACCACCCCCTCCATCTTTGCAACCCTGAACAATGAAGAGCAAAATACAATCCCACTTTTTCCTCCACTCAGCCCCAACCATAAAAAGATAACGGGAGAAAATTAGGGGCAAACTTAGGGGCCCTAATTTACAGTATAAGTAGTCTGTCAAACATAACTAAAAATTTAGAAACAGGGAAGATAAACTTGATGATTGGGACCTCATAAAAATTAAACACTTATGTGAATCAAAAGACTTTTCCAAAAGAGTAAAAAGAAAATCTATAGACTCGAGGGGGCAGGGGTAGTAATGACATATTGAACGATGGACTAATCTCTAAAATTTATAGAAACCTTCAATACCTCAACAACACAAAGTCAAACAATCCAACCAAAAAATGGGCAAAGGACATGAGAAGATTCTTCACCAAAGAAGACAGTCAGGCAGCCAACAAATTCATGAAGAGATGTTCGTGATCATCAGCCATCAAAAAAAAAAAAAAAACAACAACAACCAAACTCACTGCTGTTGAGTCAGTCCCGGCTCACAACTACCCTCCTTGGGTTTCTAGGAACTATCTTTAAGGAAGTAGATTGCCCAATCTTCCTTCCCAGGAGTGGCTGGTGGGTTGAACACCAGCCTTCTGGTTAGCAGTCAAAATGCCTTAAGCACTGTGCCTCCAGAGCTCCCGATTAGCCATTTGTTGTTGTCGTTGTTATGTGCCGTGGAGTCGGACCCGACCCACAGCGACCCCTCCTTGGATTTCTGAGGCAGTATCACTACGGAAGTAGATTGCCCCATCTTCCTCCTGAGGAGTGGCTGGTGGCATTAGCCATTAGAGAGGTGCAAATCAAAGCAACAATAAGATACCATCTCACTCTGGCAATAATAGCTGATGAAGGTGTAGAAGGATTGAAATTCTCATACACTGCTGGTGGGACTGTAAAATAGTACAATCACTGTGGAAAATAATATAGTACGTCTTTAAAATGTTAGAAATAGAGATACCATATGATCCAGCAATCTTAGTATATACCCTAGAGAAATGAGAGTCATGACAAAAACACTTTTTGCATACTCATGGTTATCACAGCATTATTCACAATAGCAAAATTATGGAAACAAACTAAGTGTCCATCAATGGATGAATGGATCAATAAACTATGGTACATACACACAATGGAATACTATGCACTGTTAAAGAATAATGATAAAATATCTAACAACATAAATGAACTTGGAGGACATGATGCTGAGTGAAATAAATCATTCACAAAAGGACAATTATTGTATGAGGCCACTATGACTAAAAAGTCAAGAAAAGGTTTGTGCACAGAAAGAAACATTCCATAGTTAGCAGGGGTGGGAGGGAGAAGGAGAGAAAATCACTAACTGGATTGCAGATATGTATTAAGGTGAAGGGAAAGGCAATTCACAATAAGGGGGAGGTCAGCATAACATGATCAAGGCAAAGGAAGACCCTGGGAGCTATGCAAGAGTAAAAGTCAACAATGATAAATGCTATTACACACACAATCCTGTAATAGTAATAACAAACAGGAGTCGATACATGGATAGATATGTAAGCTGAACAGGTATAATGTGGAATGGTTATCAGAATACAGCTATGAGCTTATGTAAGCTTGGCAGAGGATATTTCTACCATACATATTTGTTTGTGCTGCAAATACATTCAGGTATCTTATATAATAGAACATATACCAGGCAAAGTTATACGAGCTTCTTAGTCACAATCAAACACCTTGAGTGACTGTGTCACTGGGTTTGAAGGCTTAGGACAATAGTCTCAGGAGATAAGTAGGTCAACTGACAAAACATAGTCCTAAAGATAATATTCTACATCCTACTTTGTTGTCTTAAAAGTTTATAAGCACCCATCTATAGTGCAACTATTGGTCTCTTCCTGTTGCAGAAAAGAAAAGTGAACAAGATCCAAGACTCAAGGACACAATCAGTGCAAAGGACTAATAGACCACACAAACCACAGCCTCCATGACCCTGAGACCAGAACTAGCTGGTTTCCTGGCTCCCACTACTGACCACTCCAATAAGGATCCCAACAGAATGTGCTGAACAGAGTGAGAGAAAAATATAGAACAAAATTCAAAATCACAAAAAAGTCCAGGCTTATAGGTCTTGAAGAGATGGATGGAACCTCTGAGGCTATGGCCCTTAAATATTCTTCAAACCCAGAATTGAGCCCAGAGATCACCTTTCAGCCAAATAATATACAGGCTTTAAACAACAACAACAACAACAAAGCGAATAATAACACCCATGAGGAATGGGCTCCTCAGAACAATCATACAAGATCAAAAGGGCAGGATTTGCCAAAAATAAAGTTTAGAAGGCCGGAAGGGATAGGAAAGATGGGTGAATGGAAACTGGGAACACAAAGAGGAAGTAGGAAAAGAGCTGCTACATTGACAGGATTGCAACTAATGTCACACACACACACAAAGTGTATAAATTGTTGAACAGGAAACTAATGATCTCTGTAAGCTTTCACCCAAACCATAATAAAATGTTCAAAAGTAAAAAAAGATATACTATACAGAGAAATTTGTTGTCGCTGGGCCAAGTAAGAAGGTGATGGAAGGGGTTTGGTTAAACAAATATGTGGTAGTTACTATAAGAATTAATATAGACTAAAATCCAATTAACATTAAATTGCTATCCATATTTTTACAATAAAAAATGTTTGAACTTAAAAAAAAAAAAAAAAACTATGTCAATGGTAAAACATTTGCAACCTAACATTGTTTTATGGTTATTGTTATGAAATCAACATTACTTCCTACAAAAATATGCAAAAGTTGATGAATGAAGTATAGGCTTCCAAGGGTCCTTCTTTCTGACATCTCTACTTAAAAAATTCCTGAGTCCTTCTTCCTGATATCTTTATTTAAGAAATTTCCCAATCCATCAGATAGTCAAGAATATCTGTATTTCTCAAATAATCAAACTTTTCTAATAAGCATTTGTACTATCAGGGTGTTAGAAAAGGGAATGGGAGACCTAGACTCTATCCTCAGGGAGTTTACTATGTGGGCATGAAAGCTTCCTGCTAGGCATTGCAAAGATTTCTGAGTTCATGGCTTTCCCCTATGTGCCCCACTAGCCTAGTCCTCAAGTTCTCCAGCAAAACATTGTGCACATGGGTCCAAAGTCCATGAAAACAAGAATTTAATTCAGTTCAATTTCCTCTTGCCATAAAAGATCTTTGCTCCATCTTTCTCCTCAAGAGAAAGAACCTCTACTTCACCCTTTGTTGCTTTCTAATTGTTACTTATTTATGTATAAGTTTGAGTTTTTATCTATTTCCCTCAAAGTTTCTATGTTTCAGGTGCCTGTGTTCAGAGACATTTTTATGGGAAAGGCACCACGCTGGCACTTAGGATACAAAGATGAATAGGACACAATGTCTCACACAAGCTGTTTATAGTCTATATTAAGAACCAACACTTGTGGCCAACTCTGGCACAAAGTAGAGACCAGGAAAGGTTGGATTGGGGGTGGTAATTAGAAGGAAGGTTCTAGATATGTTGAGATTAAAATGCTAGTGGAGCATGCAAAAAGATCCTCTACTAGTAATGTGAAATAAAGGACTTGAACTTGGGAGGAATGGTAGGGTTGAAAATAAGCTATTCTAGAACAATATATAGAGATGGTAATGGAAATTGTAAGGATAGGTAAGATTAGAGCAGAGTTCTTCAACCATGGCACCACTGAAGTTTTGAGCCACTAAATTCTTTGTTGTGGGGGGCTGTTCTGTGCATTGTAGAATGTTCAGCAGCACCCCTGGCCTCCATACTCAGGATGTCAATAGCACCCACTGCCAGTTACGATAACCAAAAATGTCTCCAGACATTATCAAGGGGCAAATCTGGAAAGTATCTGGATTAGCAAGATAGAGAGAGGTTGTGAACAATGAAAAGATTGTAAAGGACAAAATTTGGTGAAATATGTTTATGAAGAAGAAGAAGAGGAAGAGGAAGAAGAGGAGAAAGGAAAGAAAAGAGATAAAGAAGAGACAGTTATTAAGGCAGTACATTGTACGCTCAAAATCTGAGAGGAGAGGACTTTAGTTCTGTGAATGAAGTTCATCTTCTTGAATAGCTAGTATCCCCACAGACATGCACATCCACACAGACATGCGTACCACCTGTATGTATACAGGCAGAATTTATATATAGACCAAAAGTATACACAGAGTAAAAGAAGGAATATTTTCCCAAACTCTTTCTTTATTCATTCTCCCTATTTAATGAAAAAGTTCAATTTTGTCAAAAGAGTGCAAACCTTGCATCATTTTTTTTTTTTTAAAGGAGGTGTTTAAGTCAGAATCGATGAAATTGGAAGTAATTGCAACACTCTTCTTCCTTCTTCCCTGGCATGTCAATCACATATTACATAACCCAGGCTGCTGGTATTTTCCACCTATCTCAAGAAAGATTTAGGTAAACTTATACATGCCAATGATTGGAAAGACTTACTGTGTCTTCTCTTCTGATGTTGTTTACAAGTTAAAGGGAGAAAAATCCTGTTTGATTTAAGCCAATGAGTGAAATTCTAAATCTCTAATTGTGGTAATTCAGGAATTAGCAAGGCAGCAAGCTTGTTTCATTAGAAACATCTTCCTCAGAATCCCAGAAATTGGCTACATTCATGGCTTTGACCTAGAAGTCTTGACCTATTGGTCTTACTAGGTATGAATTACACCTAGTGGAAGAATTTCTTTACTGAGTTAGTCCCTGACTCTAGAGAAAAAGAACATCTAGGATTCTGTACCCGAAACGAATCTCAGAGGATGGGGAGCGTTACCTAGCCATGCATAGGAAACAGGCTTAGGGTGGAAGAGTCAGGGCGGAGGATTGTCCCTGTGACAATCATTCTCAATGCCTTGCGAAACCAGGGATAAAACATGCCATATATAATGGGATTGAAGGTGGAATTGAAATAACCCAGCCAGAGGAAAACATTGTACAAATCTTCAGGGGTTGTGAAATTAATGAAAGGGTCTGTGATTGTTAAGACAAAGAAAGGTAACCAGCACAACACAAACACTCCCATGACTGTGCTTAAAGTCTTGGTGGCTTTGCTTTCTTTTTTGGATGAAGCCTTTATTTTGCTTTCTGACTCAACCTGTTTCATTTTAGGACCCGTGCTAATTTGTTTAGCATGTTTCCTGGCTACTGTGAAGATGTGTATATAAATGCCCACCATTACTGTGCCAGGGAGGAAGAATGCTATAAAGGAGGCCAGCACACCCCAGAGCTTATTAAATATCAACACACACAAACCTGTGCAGTCGATGGCTGCAACAAAATCTTCCACACCAATTATGTTTAATTCTGAGAATACCAGGCCAAAGGCAAAAAAGATAGGGATTGACCAACTGATTAGTAGAAACACCTCTATGACAGGTATGGTAATTTTAGTGACATAATGCAAAGGGTCACAAACAGCATAGTAGCGGTCAACTGAGATGAAGCAGAGATGAAAAATGGAAGTGGTGCAGAGCATGATGTCACAGCAGCTATGGACTTTGCAAAAGAGGTCTCCAAAGTACCAGCAGGACTCAATGGACCTGATCATACTGAAGGGCATGACCACACAGCTCAGCAAAAAGTCAGTGGTGGCCATGGAAAGGATCAGGAAGTTGGTTGGAGAGTGGAGTTGCTTGAAGTGGGCAATGGAAATGATGACGACCATGTTGCCCAGCATGGTCATTACTATAGCCCCAATCAAGACCATGTACATGGCAGACACACTGAACACAGACCTCACATTTTTAGGGCATGAATTGTTAACATAAGCAAAGCAAAACTGTACTTCTGGGGGGTTCCAAAGATCAAGTGAATTCATTGTCTTTGTCCCATGGATACAATGAGTCTTTTTCAAAAGTACTGTGTTCCTCTCATTTCTGGAAAGAAAGGTGAAAAACAATAAAAATCATTTGCAAGAAACTTTTCACAAAGGCCAAGCTAATCTGCATTTGTATTTCCAAGTTCAAACTCACTGAGATCGGCTAGGCACGGTGCTTCCCGAGCCTTAATATATGCAAGAAACACCTGGGAACCTTTTTAAAACACAGATGATGATTCTGAGGTGGGGGCTAAGATCTTGTCTGCATGTCTCAAAAGATCCCAGGAGATGCCAATGCTGTTAGTCTAAGGACCACCCCTTAAGCAAGTAGGACTAAAGGAAAATTGAATTAATGAACCTGGTTAAAACTCCCTGAGTAACCCATATACTGCATGCTCTGGTCGCACTAATATGTAGCCCTTCCTCAGGGACTTCCCATTCCAAATCCACAGACACATCAAGAATTTTACATGTACCACTTATTTGAATCAATATTCTGTATAAAAGTACCTGAAAAATTACTAGATGCTTTGGCAGGAAATCATGCTTGGTAAAGTACAGGGTCAGCAAGAAAGAGGAAGACCCTCAATGAGATGAATTGATAGCATGGCTACAACAATGGCCTCAAACATAGCACCAATTGTGAAGATGGGGCAAGACCAGGCAGTGTTTTGTTCTTTTGTACATAGGGTCGCTAAGAGTTGGAACACTAACAACAGCAACTGGCAAATTGTTTCATTTTTAGCTTCAACAGCAATTACCATTTTAAGATTGTACTTTCTTTTTTAAAAAAATCTCTCTTGACAGCATCTGCAAACACTTTTGATATTGCTGTTTATTACATACTAATCAATGGAGCTCTGGTAGCATAGTGGCTAAGGCACTTGACTGCTAACCAGAAGGCTGGTGGTTCAAACCCACCAGCCACTCCTCGGAAGGAAGGTTGGGCAATCCTACTTCCGTAGCGATACTGCCTCGGAAACCCAAGGAGGGGTCGCTATGAGTCGGGTCCGACTCGATGGCACATAACAACAACAACAATCAATGAGGAAACGTTTCTCTCCCACTGCGAACAACATAAAAAGGATTGAGAGCCATATTATGATAATTAAAAAATATGGTGAGAGTTACAGGTTTATACGTGAGTAATCTCAAAAAGAAGGAAAAATTACATCAACTTATAGATCCTATCAGTCTTGTGGGTTATCACCTGTCACTAAGCAGTTGCATTCATGAGTTTAAAGTTAGATTCTCTTTTCACAGATTTCAAGTTCTATATCCATAACAAATTTGACACACAGGAGTGTTCACTGTTTAATCACTCATTTGACAGAATTTATGCCATTGCCTTTATAATGTTAAAATAATGAGACTGACTCACCCACAATACAACATGGGTTTGATTTGTTTTTCCAGTGCTAGGGCTGGATGTGTAACTATCATGACCAATAGCAAGCAATTGTGAGATCTAAGATTGGGTTGGAGAAGTGGACTTTGGCCTGAGAGTAGACCTGAGAATAGACTAAAACTCACTGGTCCATAGATCCACAGGAAAAATGAGTCCACAACCACGTCCTCATCACACTGACTTGGAGAAGACAATACTGAGAATACAAACACCTATGAAAACAATATTTCCACTATTTGTTACTCTAGCTCAATAATTATTCCCAATGTCTTCATATTATTTAAAATCTTAGTATATGGGACACTTAATCTACTCTGGATTTAGTAATTTAATTTCTCCAGTTAGCATTTTTCTTTAGATATTTTTAATTCTACCAATCAGGAATTATGCTATTGAGTTGAACATGAGAAATCAAAGCAAAATGTAACAAACAGAAACACTTAATTCAGCTCCTTTATAAACTGAAGGCTATCAGTTTTGGGACACAAAGCAGAAATTATTTGATTAATTACTTCAGCTCTTAAACTCCAAAATGCTGTCTATAATGAAAAATGAAACAATTACTTACTTTCTTTAATAAATTAACTTTAGCCTCCTTTTTATTGGCTTTGTTGCAAAAATATTCTGTCTTTTCAACTAGCTTTAAAACAGCTAACAATGACTACAACACTATTATAGCACTTGTCACTGTCTGTCATAGGCACATAATTTCCCACCCTAAATAGCACACCTTTCAATGTTTTACTGTGAAGTCTTTAAATTTCATGTTTGACAACCCAATCCCTGAAAAGATTGATATAATTTAACTTCCTAGGTTTGTAAAGTGAATTTCATTTATTTCTTTTTTGCAAACATTGTGTGAAATAGCTGCTAAACACTAACACTATTCTCTCATGTTCCTGCTGCATGGTTATATGCACTGAAAAAAAAAAAAAAAAAAAACTTCACTGCCGTCGAGTTGGATTCGGCTCACATTAACTTTAAAAATTATTACATGGCTGAATTGTACAGATAATGTAAAAGAATAATTTTCAATTCCTACCTTCCGCTTCTGACACAAATTAGCAAAAATGAGTAAACAGATTGCAAGTATAATGTCTG